CATCCATCTTCATCATGGCGCTCCTCAGCGCATCCCCGTGCCGGTTCACCGTCTCGCTGTCCACGCTGGCCCGTCGACTGCCCGCAATGCTACTGCCGCAGCCGCTCTCGCCATCAGCGTTCAGCCCCGGCGACGACACAGGCATGGCAGTGCTGGCGCGATCGTGATCACGGTCATGACCGCGACCGCGACCGCGATGGCGACCTTGAAGTCTCTTCCCAGCCCACAGGCCCCGGATGCCGCCCTTTTTGCGCTCCGGTACCTCGTCTGTGCCGGCGCTGCACACATACAAGAGGTATTTAAGGTTGGGGAGGGAGTGCCGAATGTCGACGACTTTGAGGCCCTCGGATGCGCAGAGGGCTTCAATGTTCTTGTTGAGGAGGAACCAGCCGTATTCAAAGCGCCATTGGCCGATGGTCGAGCCGCCGCGAGGGAGGTAGAGGGGGAAGTCGCGCCGCCTGAAACGCTGGGGTTGCGTGTCTGGGATGTGGGATATGTCGTCGCGGGCGTAGGAGCGGGAGCCATAGACGGACAGAGGGTAAGGAAGCGGGGAGGAGAGGTAGAATTGCAGGTGGCGGGTGAGCATGGCGACGAGACCCAACGCCGCGGAAAGAACATCTTCGTTGATCACTTTGGCAGTGGCAGCATCGTAGAGAGAGTTCGGTAGGGGGAGATTGCATATCTGAAAGGACAACGGCGGGCCGTTTGGCACGGGCGTGATGGGAAACACGTCACATAGCTCGGAGCATATGCGTCGTCTCTGGCCATGAATTTGCTGCTCCGTCTGCTGCACCAGCTCGACACACGCAGCCAGCTTCTCGCTGTTGTTTTGGATATCCGCATCCGCAAGGGCCTGAACCTGTCTGCCCTGCGCGATGGCCTCGCGCCTGCTTCGAAGAGACTCTCGCAAGTCATTGCGTCTAGTCTCGGCTGCTCTGTTGGCCCGCCGTTGCAACGACACATATTTTTGCGCGAGGGCAATGGCTTCGCCAGCGGCGGGTACCGGGTCAGGCGGTGACTGGTGGAGTATTTCATTGATTTGCTGCATGATTTTGCGTTGCGTGTCGATGGCATCTTGGACAGACATCTCGAGGTTGGCGAGCTTCATGAGGGCATTGTATGAGGAGGAGGCGACCAGGGGCGCTGGCTTTGGATCGGCGATTCGCGCGGGGAAGTCGATCGAGTACAAGCCATCTTGGAGATGGAACACGAGGGCATTGGGCGGGAACTGACGATCGATCAGAGTCCCAATGAAGTTGAGCCTCCGCAAATCAATCACTTCCTCTAATAGGAAAGCCCATGATTCTTGCTGCGGACGTTTACACCAGATGCGAATGGTGAGGATGCATGCTCTGGAAATGCAGGTCGGCTGAGACGAGAGATGAAAGAATTGAAAGTCAAAGTTCTGTAATGGACGTCAGTCGGGGCTGTTTTTCTCGGTCGACGCAGCTGGGTGATGTTGAAAGACGGAGAAAAAGAGGAAAAGAGATAGAGAGAGCATGGAGCCTCTACGGCATTGAAGCGGAATGGGAAGACGACGCACTGCGGATCGGCTGCGGACTTCGCTAATGTAGACGGGTTCGTCGCAGTCTGGCACATGCAGCGAGAAGAAGACGTCGCCGACAGAGCTATCCACGAGTGATTCGAGGTTCTTCTGCCGCGTGATGGGATTGGCATGGACCAAACTCAAGCTGCTTCGGCGAGGCTGGGCTCTCGGCCTCTTCTTGTCGGCGCGGAGTCTATCGAGATGGAGGCTCTCCGATGACTGTGAGGACTGAAGCTGGCCTGTTTCGTGAAGCTTGCCGAGCTTGTTGGGCTTATTGAGCTTGTTAGGACTTGATATGCTGGCACCGTCGTCCGAGGCGTGCGAGGTCGCAGGGGCAAAGGACAAGTTCCGCAGAGATAGCCCCTCTAGATGACGAAGCTTGCGGTTTTGAGGAAGCAGACGCGGTCGGCGGGGCTCAGAGAGCGTGGACATGGTGTATGCATGCTGGCTGCGATTACTGCGACAGGAAAAGGTCGGGAAATAGAATGCGGAACGAATGCGCAGAAATGGCGGTGACGCCGGCGGCGAAACCGAGGAGCTGGGGTCTTTTGGAAGGTGAGGCTCGTGATGCTCGTTGTCGTGGATGACGGAGCATCATGCTCAAGCAATATGTGGTGAGTCGCGAGCCGAGTCGTGACTGGTCGGATTTTTTGGAGGGGGGCGGCCCGGGTGGGGCACTCAATCAAAACCCAGGGGTCCAAGGGAAGCCATCAACCCTACAGTAGGTTGCAAGTAATTCCGAAACTCAATCACCTCCTTCTCTCTGTTCGTTCTTGCCGTGACGCGCCTGGCTGTTGTCCATGTCCTTGGCGCCACAGGATCTGTATATTTCGTCCTCAGCATCATGTTTTTCGCTGTTCTCCTTGAAGCCTGAACACCCGCCCAAGATGAGACGATGGAGAGCGAGTTCGTCGTCAAAGCCAAAAATAGTTTATTTGTTCTTTGGCGGAATGGCATCTCGATTGAGCCATCTACGGATTCGTCAACACTCTCGTCCTAACAGAACGTCGAATGCAACTTCCTCCAAGTCTCCAGGAAGGAGGTATTTATACCCTCACAGTTGGCTGTTCCCATCGGCTTGATGTTGAAAGGCGAAGCGCTCCAGGACATTGAACAATGCGATAGGGATCTGTAGTCCAACGCAGATGACTCCGTCTATGCCCTACTGAGAACGAAACGCAGAGAGATATCTTTGCCTGCTGGCTTTGAAAGTTGAGCACATAAGTTTTTCCTTCTTCTTTTTGTTTTTGTTCCTCCCAAAAGACAAAACGCAATTGCTTCATGGGCCACCGTCACTAGCTGTCCAAGCAGCATACATGTTCTAAGAAATGTGGCCTTCCAATGCGAGGGCGTCGCATTGTGTATCGAATTGCAGAAGAAGAAGAAAAAGCCGCCTTTAATTGTTAGTCCGTTCAAGCATCGACGCTCAACAAAACTAGACAAGCAAAGCTGCCACTCAACCATCTCCTCGCCACGAAGTCCTGAAAGGAGCTCGGCCGAGCACGCGCTATGCCTTAATGACACAACATGACGCATAGTCTCACGAACCTTTTTTTTCCTCCAACTAACACGAATTACCGCTTTATATGTGCACTTGCAGGAGTTTCGGGCGCGGGGGTCGGCCATTTTCCTGCAAAGCCGGTATATCGTGCGTTTCGACTCGCTTTCCGGACCATTGCCACAATTATGTCAAAAGAAAGCGTAACACTTCCATGGATTGGATAAGGATAACGGGCGAATGTGAGGAATAGATAATGAAGACAAGAAAAACCCAGAAAAGTCAGCAATGATCGCCCAACAATTTCTCCGTCCCTATCTTGTTCCCGAGCCTCTCGAAAAATGCTGCCACCAATAAGGGTGGCGTCACTGGCAAGAATCGCGCCCCCCAAAAGAAAAACAATATCACAACAATGTATCACCTTACGTGATAAGTTTAATTCCATACCTTTCTTGGCTTCAACGCGCATTTGTGGCATCACTCCTCACCTTGAGGCAGACGGGGCACTCGCAAATCATAGTTGAATCAGCCAGGACAGGCTTTTATCCCAAGAGGACGCCACGCGGCGTGATAGCTACGCAAGGACAAGCCCTAGTCTAAGATTCCTACGGGAGTGCTGAAATCTCTTCTGCGGCGACCTGAACTGGAATCGAGATGCAGTGTCGTCGGTGTCTAATTACGTCCTGAAACGATGGTCCGGGGGCCAGGGATATCATGGACGAGTGTGATGAGGCTGGAGAGATATAGACAAGGGGAAGAAACGATCTGATTGCCTCCTTTTAGAGAACGACGCCGCGAAGAACGCCACGACAAGGATGTGGTCGACGGATCCTCGCTGTCAATAGCCAGCACATGTACATACACGCACTACATATGTACATACATCTGGGTGTATCTACAAGATGTGCGTTTGCCACATGACTACGCTGCCACTGGATGCAATAAAACAAAAACAGCCAGATGTCATGGCCAATGAAACTGACGCCCGCATTGCAAAATCTGCTTCCTTCACAGTGCGGCATATATTTCTCGGCCTCGCATATGAGCCAGAATCTTCAGTGCAGGAAAACCAGCACTTTTGCAACGCCGCCGTCCCAATGGAGAAATTCCCCTGTAAATTTTGTCCTACACTTGTCTCTGAGAGGCCGGGCTCCGAGTGACCGATCAGGCTGTGCCGCACAGCATGACCGTCATAAATGATGAAGCACCGTATGTCTTTGGCAGCGGGAGGCATTGGTTTAAATCCACGAACAAGAGGCATGCTAGTGCCTCGGGATAGCGGAGGTGCTGCGACAACATGAGACACAGCTCGGTCATTTCGAGTCCATTATCATGCTGTGTGGCCTGTCAAAACTCAAGAATCCCTGCTACTGAAGAATGAACAGAATAAAAACAAAAATAAAGAAAGCAAGAAAAGTTAGACACAAGTGACAACGCTTGGAAAAGTAGACATCTTATGGACGAAAGGATGTCGTCGCCATGATGTAGTCTTGCGAGGAGCCGGACTCCTCACTGGGATTTGTCCTTCCATTATTGATCCTTTTTCAATGATTGGCAAAGTAAGTCTACCTCCCCCGGGCGGAGAGAATGGACTAACCTCTGAGGTTTTCTCAATTTCTCACCGAGGCAAGCCACAATCGAGAAATTGAACGGCTGCAGGGTTGTGGATGACGTGAAGAGCCCAAGTGGGAAGAAGTTGACGCCACTGCAGTGAGCAGCAGTGGCAGTGAGCAGCGATGGGACCATTCGGAGAGTTTGGTCCACGACTCGACGATCATCAAGAACAAAAAGAATGTAAAAAAAAAAAAAAAAAAAAAAAAAAAAAAAACTCGCTTTTCGGGAGTCGGTGGAGGTAAAGTTGTAAGAATTAAAGTGTCATGAATAAAAAGAGGTCATTCGAGGAAACACTCTGCACTATATAATATGAAATAAATTTGAGTTTTTCAACAATCAGCAGGCACTTTGGCCGAGTGGTCTAAGGCGCCGTGTTCAGGAGTTCAATCGCATATTGTGATTGCCCCTCTTCGCGGTCTAGTAATAGGCGAGGGTTCGAATCCCTCAGGTGTCATATTTTTGCCGACACAGCGCTGGTTCCTATCCCAATTAAAAGCCGTGTCTATTCATAGAAGACTAACATTCTTCATTTTACCGTTTTATTCATAAATGCCCGCGTATTTTTGATATTTGATCACCAATCGTGAAGAAAAGCGTGTCCTATCCCGTGTGTACATGTGCTTCGGCATATCGCTCGCGGCTCAGATGTGTAGCTTACTGTCCAGCGCCAACGCCCCTGCCCAATTGGTTAGCACAACGACATCCGACACTGTCTCACTTCTCCATGTCTTACTCGCTAGGAACTCAAATTGAACTGTCAGGGTGACAAAACGGTCAGGGTCAAGGGCATTCAGCGCCTGTCCATTGTTCGAGGACCGGGGTGGTCATTGTTTGATAATTGATGGTTGATCCATCTTACCTGTGTACGTCGCCAAGCCTACGAGCGACGTGCCGTTGTGTCTGGCGGACCTTCCATTTCTATTTGCTGCACGATGTGTGCAACATCCCAATAGTGTAGGTTTGGATCTGCAAGGTCTGCGAGATGTTCGATAGAAGACGCACTCGGTTCAAAGAATCAAGACCACTTTGATCTGATGTCCATGTCTAGGCCTGTCGCCCAACAGGCTGGAGTCCTGGGCCGGGGAAAAGAACAGAAAACAGGAACCCATCACTGCGGAGCGGATGCTCCTTCCTTTTTTGCCCCAAAGCTCATTGGTGGTCAGTCATGTCCAGCATCATGAATTTTTTTCCTATGTACATTGTTCGTTTTTGTATCCCTCCACCATGCACAAGCTTCGACTCCCGTGCAACGTGAAATAAACCCCTCTTTCTTGCTCTCACAGGCACAATTATCATCACAGCTGAAAGGGGAGACGGGTGATCTTGCAGGAATGCGCGATAATATTGTCAGATTATCGATAATCTAAACTCTATTCTTAATTACTAGTAAATTATATACAAAGGAAAATAAATAGTGGATAGTGCGCATTACACTAGCCCTTACCTAGCGTAGCATTACTATAATCTGCATATTAACCTAACTTTACCTATACACTATATATAATATACCCCCTAATTAGAGTATTTAAAGCTAGTAATAAAGGCTTTAATTACTAATTTATAGTGTAAAAAAGAAAGTAAGGTTAAAAGTAAAGTAAGTTTATATAACTTACTATAAAGCTTAAAATATTTAATTCCTTATAGCTAACTTTAAATTCCTTTCTTTTTCTTTCTTTTTTATAAGCAAATTTTTATATAATTAACCTTATTTTTTAAATACTATTAATACTACTAATTTATAATGCCTTTAAAATTTAAAAGAGTTATTTAAAAGGACTTCTAGTAAAAGCTCTCTCCTAGCCCTAAGCCTAAGGTTTTATAAAATAAATCTCCTAAGATTTATTTTAATTTTAATAAAGGTTATAATATTAGTAATTCTTTTCCTTCTCCTTTCCCCCCCTTTAAACTACTAATAACCCTATAGTAATTATTAGTAAGTAAAAAGCCTTTACTTAAAGGGATAAGTAGGTAAAATAAAAGTAAAGCTTTAAAAAGCCTAACTTAATAGGTATAAACTATATATATCTTTATAAGTATCCTTCTAATTAATTAAATACACTAATAACTTAAAAGCCTTAAACTTTAAATATTTATAGTATATAAAGATATATTCCCTACTTAGAATATATTAAAGCTACTATTATAAGTAAGGGTAATAGTAAGAGATACTATAAGAGTAATATTAGTTACTCTTTAAGATACTTTTTATATAAGTTAGGTAACTATTATTATAATAACTTATATACTATATTAGTCTTTATTACTAAGTAAATACTAATAGTATAGGACTATAACTTTAAAGTAAGCTTTCTTTAATTTAATTTATAGCTCTTTTTTATTATACTAATACTTAGCACTCTCTAGATATATAATTAGTGCTATTAGGCATTAAAACTATAGATTAAACTCCTTATTAAGTTAGAATTAGTATATAAAGAGGTTATACTTTATATTAAGGCTACTTCTACTGCTTAAGGCACTATAGTAATAAAAAGAGAAGCTTATATTATTACTTTAGTAGCTAAGTTAAAGAAAGTTATTAAAAAATATATTTAAATATTATATAATATAGTATTTAGTATTTAGAGTATTATTATTTTATTTTTTAATATTTTATTTACCTTTATAGTGCTTTTATAGTATAAGGAAAAGGCTTTTATATAATTATTTAGGGTAATATACTTAATGCCCCCCTTTTTATATACCTATTGTATTTATAACTATACTAATAATTATTATTTTAAATAGTATATATATTATAATTAACCTTAGCACTTTTTAGCTTTTTATAAGTATAGGTAGTATATATATATCTATTAATCTAAGTATTCCTTTAAAGCATTTAAATTACTATTAAGTAAGGGCCTTTATAAACCTATTAGCTAGTATTTCTACTATTAATATATAATTTATCTTAAAGCTTCTATACTTATATTCCTACTTTAGCTATATATTATATATATTAATATAGTGTAAATAAGTACTAAGATATTTACTTTTATTAAGAATAAGGCAAATTATTTATTAGTTATTATAGCTTATAATTTAATCCTTATAAGTATTAAACCTAATATCTTTAAAAAGCCACTATAGCCTTATAGTCTCTTTAGTAGTTTACTATAAAGCAAGTAGCTTTACCTTAGTAATAGAGCTTATTATAGTGGATTAGTATATTGCTTTCTATATAATTAAGCTGCTAAAGAGGGTTATAAGGTATCCCTATAAAGACCTTTATATAATTATATTATCTATAAAAAAGGCATTACTTATAATTTATATTATATATATTTCTTCTATACCTTTAAAGCTTAAAATAAGGTATTTTATTAGGACTAAATATTTAATTACTTAATTTACTGCTTTTATATACTTTAGAGTAAGGTTTATAAAGTATTATAAGAGCTTAGCTATAGTAAATATAATATTAGGTTTTATTATAATAGCTATATATAGAATTAACCCTATTTTTTCTTAATAAGCCTTTATAAATACCTTTTTAGCTTACCCTTTACGCTTTTAATACTTAGTAATAGGGATTAATATAGTAAAAAAGCTACCTTCCTTTACTTAATTAAACTTTTTACTAATTTTATTTATATATACCTTATAGCTTAAATAAATCCTATAATTTTTTTTATTATAAATTACTTAAATGCCTAAAAAGAAATATACCTTATCTTTATTATCTAGCTTATATATACTTTTAAGTCCTATAATTACTTTATTTACCTTTTCTAATTAATCCTTATAAAAAGCTATAATAATATTATCTATAAAGAATATAAGGAATATATTACACGCTTTTAAATAAAATAAATAAGGCTTTTTTAGGCTTAAAATAAGCCTAAGTTCTTTTAAATAACTACTTAGCTCTTTAAACTATAGCTAAGGTAAGTCTCTTAAGCTATATAATGCTTTAAGTAATTCTACGTATTTATTTAGCACTTTATAACCTTCTAGTAGCTTATATATTACTAGTATTTTATTTACGCCTTAAGCTATATATAAAAATATATTTTTTATATTAAATTATTTTATTTTAAGATTAAACCTTATAATAAGTGCAATAAAGATTCTAAATATATACACTATAAGTATTATTATATAGGTTTATTTAATTATTAACTTCTCTTAAAGGTCTTCTTTTATATAAATTTAGGCTTTATACCTCTTTAGTATACCTTTTTTATTAAATTTATAGTTAAACACCTACTTTAATAGTAAAGGTTATAATCTTATTACTATTTACTTTATCTACTTTTATATACCTTTTTCCTTAAGCTTTATAATTTCTTCTTTTATTACTTTAATTTATTAATTCCTTATAATATAATTAATAGCTTCCCTATAGTTCTTAGGAGGCTTTATTAAATTAAATTAATAAATAGTATTATTCTTTACCTTATTACTTAAATACACTTTATTTTAATAGTTATAATAAGCATTTATTATAGTAAATATAGTCTTTATGCTCTAGAAGTTATAATCCTTCTCTTCTAGCTAATTAGGCCTTAAAAGTAATATTAAATTCTATAAGTAATTAATAAAGTAATAGTTAGGCTATCTCTTTTATAAAATATTCTAATTTTAAATCTATCTCTTACTTTCTCTCTTTTAAATATAAGCACTCCTATATAGTAGTACTATTAATTAAAAGCTTTTACTATTTAAAGGTTCCTACTTATTTATAGGTTCTAATGCTTTTAGTAATTTATTTATATAAGTAGCTAATTTATTAAAGCCTTATAAAGCATTTTCTTAATATAAAGACTACTTTACTAATTAAATTAAAGTATTAGGTTTCTTAATTATTTAATCTATTATTTTACCTTTAGTAATAAGTGTATTTTTATTGCCTTAGTCCTATGTATTTTATTCTAGAACGTTAGAATTAACTAAGCCTTTTTAGCTTTTATTAAAGCTTTTATAGCTTTTATAACTAAAGCTTAAAAGAGCTTCTCTATAGTAAGAGCTTTATATAGCTCCCTTCTTAACCTTAGGAGTTACCTAAAGAGTTTAAAGTCCTTAATACTATACTAAAGAATATACTAATTTTTATATATCCTTTTCTTTTATAATTAAGAGTATTTTTACCCCTAACTTTAAAGTCTTTAGTAGCATTATTACTACTTATAGTAATCTTCTAATTAGTAATATAAAGAGATTAACTTTTTTATTTAATTTTATATTTATTTAAAGAGCTTAGAATTAAGCTTTAAGCTTACTAACTAACTATATATTTATACTTTCTTTCCTTATATTATAGAATATTTTCTTATTAAATATTATATTTCTTATTATTATTACCTTCCTTAGTAAGGGGATTTAAATCTAATATATATTTAAAGCTATATAGCTTACTAAATATTTAATATATCCCCTAGGGCTTATTTTATAGTATTATTAATTATAGTTAGCCTTATAGTCCCTAGTTATAAAATATATATAGTAGCT